AGAGAGAGAGAGAGAGAGAGAGAGAGAGAGAGAGAGAGAGAGAGAGAGAGAGAGAGAGAGAGAGAGAGAGAGAGAGACTTAAGCTGAAGAGACTGTTGTTTGATGTAAGAGGGCCGTGTTTTCAGTTCCTATTCTGGGTTTTGCATATAGTACATATTACATCTCCCTCTCAAAGTACTATAGGTGGTTCTGTTCTTCTTCTTTTAAGGGGGGAAAAAAAAAATCTTTCGCAGTACTATAGGCTTTGCCTATAGTACATCAATCCGGGCCCTTGGTTTGCTGACACCTCTTCAGATATTCTTGTCATATTACATCAGGGAATTGTCTCCACAGAGACGCTGGATGCGGTTTCAAGCACAAGCTGAAGCTCTGTAATAGCTCCAGTTCTTCTTTTTTTTTGGCTCCAGTAGCTCCGGGTAGAATTGTGAGGTTCCCCGGCGTCACGGTTCTTTATTTGAAAATAAAAGGATGAAACGTTTTTGGAGAAGAAAACAAAAAACAGAAAAACCATGCGTCAGCGACTCAGCGTCGGTCTTTTTTTTTTTTTCCTCCGGTGGTGACGAATCTACTCACATCGTCTTCCACATCTACATTTGCACCTCTCTTCAGGAGCATCTCGACCGTCGCTGTGCGCCCCATGGATGCTGCAATATGTAAGGGTGTTTGCCGTACCTGCCAAAAAAAAAAAAAAAAGCAAAAAACGAACGAGCAAAAAAAAAGCCGATTGGATGCAATCATTGCACAGATTAATACAAAGTGGAATTAATTGATCACAATGAGTAGATGCCTTCATGAGCATCGTCATGACAAAGGGTCAGGCAACATAAGATTTGCAAAAAGTTTTTTTTTTTTTAAACGAACAATGTACAAAAAAAAAATGTTCCAGGAAGCAAATACTTGTAATACCACACACAAAAAAAAAGTCGCTGGAACACGAAAAACGAGAACTTGTTTTTTTTTTGTTTTTTTTTTTTCCAACGAAAACGAGAACTAGAATTAAAAACAAAAAAAAAACAAATAAAAAACACGAGGTCTATGAAGTTCTATCTATAGGACTTTTAGTAGACCGCTTTTTTTTTTCTATTTTCTATTTCGTTTTTTTGGGTGGACACTGGACAGTAAGTAGTGCTTCCTCAAGTAGTTTCTTGACACTTCAGCATTTTTTTTTCTTTTTAATAGAAAGAAAAAGAAAAAGAAAAAGAAGAAGAAGAAGAAGACAAGACTCTTTTTTCCTTGCTTGTTTACTATGAAAGGCACATGACAGGACTTTCTGGGATGAATCTGTCCATAATCGCAGGCAGATTCCGTCACTGACCTCTCCCAGGAAATGTCTGGTGTGCTGAAGATGTGTGTGAGCAGCCACATACGAAGATAAGAACGAAAAACGAAAAAAAAGAAGAAAAAAAAGGAAAAACAGAAAAAGAAAAAAAAGCTAAACGTAATCAATATCAATAAAAATTTCAAAAATGACAACCGTGTAGACCCCTCTAAACCCTGCATATACCCCCCAAGACCAGAAGATTTCGAAAATAGAAAGTGCAAATCTGGTTTCTTTTTTTTTTTTTTGCTATGTTCTTAGAATCTACCCAAGAATATCCTTCGCAACATCCATTAAAATTGGAACGATACAGAGAAGATTAGCATGGCCCCTAAAAAAAAAATAAAAAAAAATCTACCCAAGAACTTCATCCCCGATTTGTTACACTACAAATGTCTACATTCATCTTATGTAGGAAAGAAAAAATTCTATAGTTAATATCTTCCTTATAAAAGCACAAAACGAATGAAATTGACCTCTAGGCTCTAACCCACTACCTAAAACATGTACTAATACTACTAATCGATAACCAAAAAAAAGCAACAAACAACAATTCTACCCATCACAACTAGGATTACATCATGGGTTTGGTAGGCAGTGGGAGGAGGGAGGGAGGGAGGGAGGGAGGGGGGGCAGCCCCTTACATTGGTGATCGCCTCCTTATCTGCTCCATTCTCAACCAGCAACTCGGCTGCTGCCGTTCTCCCATTTCTTGCCGCCACATGCAGAGGAGTATGAGCATACTGCCATCACCAACCAGTCACAAACACACACACACACA